GACAGTGGCAGTGCTGTTGCCTGGCTGCCATAGCTGTGAGTCACTGGGACAGCATCCAGAACGATGACGAGAAGCTGCCTGCAGCGGCATCGGTGCCCACCTCCCAGTCCTGCCTTTACTTGACACAACAGCTGCCCCTCCCATGTACGGGAGGCCTTGCCATCTCTGCTCGGCTTTCAGAGACCCCAGGGGTTTGTCTGGCGGGTATCAGAGCTGGCATTAGCCAAAGAGGGTTGGCACCCCAGTCCTCAGTGGCCTTGGCCTGCCCCCATTCCACATGCTTGTCCTGGAGCCTGGCTGGTACCTGACCTCACTTCACAGATGAACCAAGCAAACTGAGGCCCACAGAGGTGAAGTGACTTGTAAGTCCCATAGCTGTCTAGCAGCAAACAGCTCTGGGGTCTCAACTCTCCCCATCTCTGGCTGTGAATTTGCCCCACTGGACAGCCAGAGAGCTGACTCCTCAGGCTGCATCTCTCTGGGCCTCTCCCAGGGCATGGCACACAGAAGGTATTCAGTAATGTTTGCAGCTGGGCTAGGGGACTTTGTCCTGATGCCCTGCCACCCCCACAGCAGAGTACATAAGGGAAAGAACGGGTGAGAGAGGAAGATGGGGATGGCCGTGTGGTCCCTTCTTAGTGCCCTACGGTGGCTCAACCTTTCCCCCAGAGACACGTGTACCATTCACTGACCCGGGAGCTGGGTCAGGCTCAAATATCGACTGCACAGCCGTTTCTGGGAGAGGCAGAGCCAGGGCATGATGGGTGTCGGCTGCCCCTGAGCTGGCTGTCTGAGGCTGATCACCCCTGCCTGCTTTTCCCAGCCTGTTCCGCTGCCCCTGTTTAGGCTTCTTCCTGCTGTTGCTGAGTATAGGCTTAGCAATTTGCCACCTGCTGCCCCAGCCACCCAGGACTCCAGCCATAGCCGTGCCATCGATCAGGTTACCCCACCAGCCCAGGGTGCCCCTGCTGCAGTCACTGGCCAGCTCGTGCCCAGTTTCTCGAATGGGGCCCGTAGGTCCTGCAGGCTCCTCCCAGGAGGCCCTCCCCTCCGTGACTGTAGCCTGCGAGGAGGCCTGAGGGCCCTGGCCCTGCCAGGGAGATCAGATCCTCTCAGCCACCTGCTGTTTTCATTAGAAACTAAAATTAGCTGGGCTTGTCCCAAGCTTTTCCAGGTTTGCTTGCTTTTTTAAACAAAATATACAAAATTGGAGAAGCTAATCCACACCTCTGTGACTCTTCCCTGGCACTCTCTGGACTCTAGAGGAGAGGGGCCGGGAAGGAGCGGCCGTGGTGGGGAGCCAAGCAGGTCAGTGGCACTGGTCCTGGCCCTACAGTGTCCAGGTGGGGGCTGGGACACCAGCCCAGGCCTCTCTGCCCCCTCCTTTTGGCCTCCCTGCCTGCCCAGGCCACATTTAGAGCCTCCTCAGGAGTAGTTGTGCCCTCCATACCAGAGAGAAAGGAGGCCAAGTTGGCAGGAGGGGTTACCCGAAGGGAACAGTATATAAGCAAGAGTGACTTTCAGCTAGTGGATACAGCTAGGCAGAAGCAAGGGGCCACAGACTCCATTTGGGACAGTGTTTTTAGGGACTGGGAAGAGTGTGCAGCTCTCAGGACCCTTTGCTGCATAACCGACCATTCAAACCACCCACTGTTTCTTTAACCAGTTTGAGTGGCTGCTGTACTGACCTCCACTGTGACCCTGTCCCAAGACCCTTGTCTCTCTTCTGGGCAAGCAGTATGTTGGGGGGGGGTATGCGGTAAATAACCTGGGTCAGACTCTCATCTCTGTGTCACCAAGGCAAGTTAGTGAACATCTTGGAGACTTGGTCTCAATGTGCTCCTCTGTAAAATGGGGAGATCAGTTGTTCTTACTGTAGGAGGTAGAAATGAACTAAACACAGCCCAGGCCAAAGCACTGGGAAGCTTCTCACCTCCTCTGTGGCCCTTCCCACCCTCCTTGCACTGCAGCCTCTTCTGCTCCCAGCTGGGTCTGTGGACTCTGTGCTGGTTTTTTTTTCGGGCCTTCTCCACTTTACTCCTAGGCTCAGGGGTGAAGGGTGATGTGGAGGAAATGTCTCCCCAAGGAAATCAAGAGCTGGGGACTTGTGTCCAGTGTAAGTTCAAATGTGACTAGGGAACATGGAGACTGTCTGGAGAAGGAGATGACCCGGAGCACGGCCCCTACCACACTGTCACCCGTGTCATTACTCAGTAGTTACATGGTTCTGCACAGCCATGTCACCACAGAGCAGGGCATCCCCTCCCCTGATGCCTGCTCTCCAGAAGGCATAAAGGCTCCAAGGCTTGTATTTAAGCTGGTCACTGGAGATCAGGACGTGAAACGGGGTTTTCTGCCCACCCTGGCCTGGGGGCTGGCTGCTTAGGCTCCAAAGATGGCCTGGGGCTCCGTGGGTAGGACCACTCAGTGTCATCAGACCCTGACCTGAGCAAGGTGGCCTGACTCTTCCCTGGG